GAGTGCCAGCCAGAATGTTATCTTACAAATACAATCCTAACCTCCTCCTCCTCCTCCTCCTCCTCCTCCTCCTGATCCTCCCCTTTCAGAAGCTACTCCTCTTGGCTCGCTCCTCCTCCTCCTCACCTCCTGGTAGGAGGGACCAACTCCTGGGTGATGCTGCAGGCAGCTGATGATCGTCATGGTGAGGAGGTAGGAGCCGATCCCTGCGCTCAGTGAGCCTCCTCGCTCCTCGCTCCTCCCTCTTCTCTCTCCTCTTCCCTACCTCCCGTGTACGTCTCATGCAGGTCGCGATTATAGAGAAACTGAAGAGAAAAATATGAGAATTGAGAAGAGAGGAGAGCAGAGGAGGAAGGAGAGCAGAGGGGAGGGGAGGGGTCTTGCCTGCTTCAAGACGAGAAGCAGCGGCTCTAGCGGCTGCCACTTCTGCTTCTGCTCCTGAGGCATCATAACTTTAGACAGGGAAGACGAACGAGAGGTTGAAGGAGAGAAGAGCGAGAGAGAGGAGGGAAGGGCAAGCGAGGAGGAGAAGAGGAGGAGGTCCTAGAGGAGAGATGATGCGGAGGAGAGGAGGGGGAGGAGGAGGAGAGAAGGGAGGAGGAGGAGATAGGCTACCTTGACCCATTCTGTATTGATGAGTCCGTCTTCTTGGCCGAAGCAAATGTTCAAGGGGATGCCGCTAGGAACGTCCTCGAACTTGATGATTGGAACCTGGAGGTATCGCAGCGTTGAGCAAGTGCAGCAGCAGCAGCAGCGTCACCTTGGCTTTTCCTATCACTTGGATCTTATCGAAATTTCCGTCGGACTTGAGAACTGAAAGCAGAGAACAGAATGTCAGCAAAGAAGAGCCGACAGCCTCCTCCCTCCCTCTCCTTTCGTCCACAACCTCCTCCTCCTCATCGCTTCTCCTCCTCATCCCTCCTCCTCCTCCTCGCTTCTCCTCCCCATCGCTTCTCCTCCTCGGGGTATTTCTCCTCATTTACCTTTCGCAAGTTTGACTAGAGGATCACAGTCGCTGCAGTTGACAACAACCATGTCCACGTCGCTGGAAGGAAGGAACATCCCCGTGGCGTAGGAGCCGAACACTTTGAGCTCCGCCTCCGGCCAGATCTCCTTGGTGACGGACGTACAGAACTGCACGAGCATCTCCCTCCTCTTCACTTCTGCGTTGGTAGGCTGGTCTCACGTGTGTTACCACTTCATCGCTCTCCCTCCTCGCTCGATCCCCTTGCTGCCTCTCCCTTCTCTTCTTCTTCCTCATCCTCGTCCTCTCTTCCTGTTTCAGCTCCTCCTCCTGCTCTCGCTCGATCAACTTCTCGACTTGACTTGCCTTGATGAAAGCGACGAAGTCAAGAATCTCGTTGTGAAGTTCCATGGCCGAGTCACTGAAAAACAAAGTTAGACCCTCTCCTCCTCCATCTCCTCCTCCTTCTGCTCCTCCGTCTCCTCCTCCGTCTGCTCCTCCGTCTGCTCCTCTCCTCCTCCTTCTCTATCCTTTGATTTCATTTGTCTTCGCATTTCTCTCCCTCGCCATTCCTCGCTTCTCGCACGCGCACCGAAAGCTGGACGAATACATCTTTCCTCGGGCCCACGGAGACTTGCGGTCGATGGCAGAAACTTCTTCTAGCAGGCGGCGGTGAGGCGAGCAAGGAGCAAGGAAACGTTGGAGGAAGCGAGAGAGAGAAGGTGG